AGAAAAGAAGAACATGACATAGTTTATGATTCACCAGTTTCGTTGCGCTTTTGTTTTGTGTTTGCGTAAAATTTCTTATGAAGTCGTTTAACAGTCCGCTGGATGACGATGACCAACACGGCTTATGTGAAAAAAAGTGTTTTACAGTTGCGCTATCAACACTAAAAAGTTATAATGCAGACCAAGATTTCATTTTAGAAGGATAGCACCTAAATGTAAAACTTTGTTGACAATAAATGTCAGAAATTATGGCACAACTTGCTGCTGTTCTTGATCATGCAACTGGTAATGACGTTTTCTTCCCATTGCTGATTCATCCTTCGTTTTGGTCTTCTGTTATTCTTGCCCTTGAGCCGTCATTCTCTTAAGCAAATAATTCTTATCATTATTTTTCGTTGCAACCGCTGGAGATTTAATGGCTGAGATGGTACTCTGATTCGGTATGATCACGGCATAGCATGCCGGATTTATTTCCATGGCTTCGTTTCTGCCCCTAAGGCAAAGATTCGCTGTCACCATGTAATAATTGACTGAAAATTAGCATGATGCGCAAACATACATAACGATAAAAATAATATAAACGGGTCACATTTAAAAATATGACGTGTCTTCCAAAAGGACGTGAAACAGAATGAGACACTGGTCTAAACTTAATTTTCATGCATAGATTGTTGAAATAAATGTGTATTATATTTTAATTTATAGTTAAATTAATGACGAATTGATGAGTGCGCTACAACTGTTTAATGTTGAGCCACATCTGCAGTGATCGTACATATTGTGATGGTGAAGTGTATGCAGGGAAGCACAGTTGGTGTATTAGTCCCTCCTTTTGTTTAACGAGCCTTATTATAACCGGATTCGTGGCTTGGGTTCTGAGGCGGATGCAGTTTTGTTCGGGTGTACAGGTGTAGACAGTACAAATGCAGGGAAGAGCATATTAGAATACGATGGGTAGAAGAATGGAGAAGAAAAGAAAACGACTGAAGGTAGTTATAAGATTTACGACCTAATTCAGAGAAGTCTCCGCTGCATACTCATAAGGCATGTGTAATGTCCCTCGTGTAATCATTTCCGACCGATAGAGAGAGTCTGACAGGCTTATTAACGCTGGATCAGTGTCATTCTTAACTCAAGATTGTCTAGAGCGTGATTGGGGTACCGCACGGTCCAGTTTTGTTAAGTAAATCGGAAATTTAGCATTGTCTAGGTGGCTGTGTATTAAATTAGCCAGGTGTAACTGCCAGTCATGGCATCACATAGCATCTCCATTGCCCGCAACGCAACGTTGATGACCCGCTGTCTTTGACAGTCCCAATTAGTACTTGTTGAGGCCGCACGTTTACTTCTTACCCTTACTAACTTTA